AGCACCCCAGCACTTAAGCACGTAAGTCAAAGGCCACCTTTTGGTTCAGGCCAAGACTTAACTCAGAGTCCCAGTGAAAGACTCTGCTGGGAGAGATGCTTCAGGTTGACAGCACCAATGGGGGAGAAATCTCAGGTCTCCCTGTAACAGTGAGAAAATAGTTGAGTATCGCTTAGGCATCAAGTATTGCTGGAGGAGGGCAGTGAGCAAGGGAACAACAGGAGAAGGGATAATAAATGATGCAAATTAGAGTCTCAATTTGCATTCTATTCCTAATGAAGGGGTGGATGGATAATTAATGAGGATGGAGTTAATATCCTTATATGTGGTAAGCTAGGAGCTCTACCACTGAGTCACATCTCCAACTCTGTTTTGTTTTTGTTTTTTTCTTTTAAACAGGAAATATCAGGATAAGGAAGACATTTTCAAACATTTATTGGAAACAGAGAGATGATAGGCATGATGGGCCACATTTGTTTTTTTGGTTTGGTTTGGTTTGGTTTTTCGAGACAGGGTTTCTCTGTGTAGCGTTGGAGTCTCTCCTGGCACTCGCTCTGTAGACCAGGCTGGCATTGAACTCACAGAGATCCACCTGCCTCTGCCTTCCGAGTGCTGGGATTAAAGGTGTGAGCCACCAACGCCCCGGCAATGGGCCACATTTGTAATCCCCACACCCAAGAGGTTGAGGCAGGAGGATAGAGAATTTGAATTTAACTCAGGTTACAAAGTTAGTGTAAAGCTAGCCTTGTCTCAAGAAACCAGGGGCTGGGTACTTAGCTCAGTGGTTGAGGACTTGTCTAACAGTGCAATGCCCTGCCCTGGGTTGTGTCTCCAACAGTCCTGAAAACAGTCCTAACCCTGCCATGATGCTACTTTAAATGATAACTTGATTTAGAATCATGAAGGAGACATACTTCTGGGCATGTCTTATTTCCAGAGAGATTTGACAGTGAGTAGCACTTCCCCATGGGCTAGGATCCTGGACCTCATAAAGTAAGACAGAGGAGAAAGCAAATGGGGTGCCAGCACTTTTATCTCTTGCTCCCTCACTATGAACACAATGTGATGGCCACCTTGCCTCCTGCCTCATGCCTTCCCTGCCATGCTGGCCAATACATGGCAATACATGGCAAGCCAAAACCCTTCCTCCTTACACTTTTTCCTTGGGTATTTATTTGTTCACACAATAAGTAGCTAACATGCAACCCTAACAAAAAACACCACAAAGGAGGCTGGAGAGATGGCTCAGTGGTTAAGAAATCTCTCCGCTCTCTCAGAAGACTGGAGTTCGGTTCCCAGAACCTACATCAGGCAATTGTAAATTGCCTGTAACTCCATCTCCAGGGGATGTGACTTACACATTGTACATATGCACCCCCCACACATGCATAAAAATAATAAACCTTTAAAGAACATAAAAGTTTTATGGCATACGTATACAATTACTATCTTGAAAGTTTTTTTTTTTTTTTTAATCTTAACCGAGCACTTTGTCATTTAGCATGCATTTGATGAACATTAGCAATTGCTGTCAATTATCCGGGAAGAAGCTGAGTTTCACTATTCCTTGGGTTTCTACTATTCATGCATTCATTTGCATATACAAATATTTTTGCCACTATAAAATGCACATGAATGAAACATCCTTTAAAAACTTTTTCCATAGTATTTTTTTTCTGACTATTCAATTTCACAATTTGTAAGAAGCAAATAGCATTTGATCTGTACATATTCTCATCAGCCACCAGATGGCATAAGGTGTGAGCGTTTTATCCTGACAGGGTCACTGCACATAACTTGACCTAATAATGTATTTGAAGTATTCTATCACTCAAACAGCTCAGTTATTTTAGCCACATGTAAAAGTGAGTGACTAAGCTGATATTGACGTGGTTCTCATTTTTCTAAATCTTGGGGTTCTGGGAGACTCTGGCCAACATAATGAACCAATGAGCAAACAAATAAGACAAAAGAGTTCTGTTACAGGAAACGGGAAAGGGAGTCACGTCAAAACAATGACCATCTTAGATTCTGAAGAAATTTTTCAACTGCAAAAGAAACTTAAAACAGGCCTTCAAATTCAGCTTAATACATTTCTGTCCTGCCTATAATTTATGCTGAGAGCAGAAAAGTAATATAAAAACTTTGCTTCACTTTGGCCCAAAGAAAAGTTGTTGCTAAAGTTTGGAGGAAAAGAAAAGGATAGGAAAGCCTATTTGACTTTTGCTCAAATCCAGAACACAGTGCATGTTTAATGACTGTATAGTCCCCTCTGAACAATGCAGAATACTGACAGCTGACAAGAGGAGCTAAAACGCAAGATGAAGAAGCTGAGTGCAAAAAGGTCTTCCCTTCCCAGGCCTCATGCAGCATGTTTGCTGAACACTGAAGAAAGCACCCTGTTGACATGCTTTCTCTTCTTTGCAGAATCCAGCACACACACACACACACACACACACACACACACACACACACGCAGTAAAAATAAAAGGGAGACTGGGAAGAGGAGGGGGCCTAGCAGAGAGATGGGCAGGGAAAGTAATTGTTTAATATGGCCTGAGTATGTTATTTTTGGGTGAAAAAATCATTATAAAACCTATCACTTTGTATAGTAAATATACCCTTATTTGTTGTGTGTATGTGGTGTGTATACGTGTGTGTGTGTGTGTGTGTGTGTGTGTGTGTGTGTGTATGTATGAGTGTTCATGCATACCTACCTGTTTATATGTTATAGTGGGAAATTACCAATAAGAAGCCAAGTGGAAATATAAGGGTATTTAATAGGGAAAAGCCTTACTTACAGAGCGACCTAGCCAGCTGGTGTGGCAGCGGTCTGTACGCAAGCCCAAAAGTGAAAACGAAAGAGAGACCACAGTCCCATGCAAGTCTCGCTCTACATCACCCTGACCATGCCCTTGCAAGCGTGGTCAGGCACACCTGTAGCCAGCTCCTAAGTAGGCGTGGCTACAGCTTCCCCTACAACATGTGTGGCTGTACACAAGAATATGGAGGCTAGTGGTTGACATCTGATGTCTTTCTTGGTTGTTGCACTAAGGTAGGGTTCCTTGCTTAACCTGGAGCTCTCAAATTTGGTTAGTAGAAAAAGTATCTCTGTCTCTATCTTCTGAGCACAGGGATTATAGGATGGACAACAGGCCTTCCTGGCATTTACATGGGTGTTGGGACATGGACTTTGCTCTTCATACATGCATGGCAAACACTTTATTCCAAGATCCTTCTCCAATAAAAAAAATTTAAATCATACAAGAATATATATACATATATATAATCTTTATTCACACACACAAATATATATGGTTCCTGAATGAGAAATCTTTGGGAAAATGAAGTTAAAGTTATGAGAAAGGTGTGAAAAGGTAATATGATAACTAACTCTAACTCTGAGGAAGACTGTCTTCGTTCTTCATTATGGTTCATATCCTATCTCCATGTTTGCCAGCTTTCCTACCTGATTTTCTGTAAAAGGAGATTATATTCTCTTATTATTGTTCTTATGCTTAGAAAAGGCAGAGGCTGCTTGTAAATGTAAGTTTCCATCTCGCCAGCCTCGTCCCACAACTGCTTCAGCCCCAACTAAGCACACAAAGACTTATATTAATTATAAACTGTCGGCCGGTGACTATGGCTTCTTATTGGCTAGCTCTGTCTTAATTATTAACCCATTTTTATTAATCTAAGTATTTCTACGTGGTCTTATCTTACCAGAGCAGGGTCCAGCACATCCTACCTCCCTGTCCTCACATGGCATTTGCTGTCTGCCTACACTTCCCAGAATTCTCCTCATATCCTAGTCCTGCTTATCTCCTTGCCTCTATTGGCCACAGTGTTTTATTCATCAACCAATAAGAGAAACATATACATAGAAGAACAGTCCCCATCATCTCCTCTTTTCTGTCTAAATAAAAAGGGGTTTAACATAGTAAAATTTACAACAAAACAGCTATCAAATAAGAACTATAGTTAACAATATGTAGTCTATTAACATTTAGCAAAATTTAAAGAAAACATTCTATCATCTATCCTATCTTTGTGAGTCCAAAGTCTTATATGTAACTTATCTTTTATCATAACTAAGGAAAAGCATAACCGTAATTATCTGTCTTCAACTCCATCAAAGACAACAGAAAAATAATATATAAACTCTAGAATTGACAGAGACATCTCACTGCCTGGTCAGTCACCCAAAATTCCTCTGTAATGTTGCGCACCCATCTTCAGCCCATAGGCCACCATGTGTCTGGCAGACTTCTTAGTGAAACAGGAAATTTTAAACTGTCCCTCTGCATTGGCAGTTTGTCAGTCATTTTTCTCTGTGTCCTGCAAAATGTCTTGCAGACTCTTCCATGAAGCAGGAACCCTTCAGGACTGTTCCATTTTGTTTTGCAAGTTCAGTGGTCACTTTCCTGTGGGTCTTGTATGTTCACTTTATACAGCATACAGTCAAACAGTCCAGGCAAGAGCTGTTTCTTGCCTAAATGGCCAGTCTTGCCATATTGAAAGCAAACTCCATAATGAGTTTCTCCAATGCCCATCTTCCTCTCTGAAGTAATTGGTATTGCCAGGAGCAGTTGTGTTTCACTGTCATGAAAAACCCTGAATCATTTTAAATGCCATATTCTATAGGTCTTTGAAAGGTTTGAAGACTATCTATCCATCTCAAATATATCTTTGTATATCAAGAAAACCTAGCTAACATACCTATATAAGCTTTGGCTATTATAGGTAACTACATATAATCTGTACTTAATTATACATTACATTTTTTAATGAGCTATATAAACACAATACCTAAACAAGAGGAAGGACACACACACACATACACACACACACACACACACACACACACACACACACACACATATATATATATATTATCAGCTGCTATTCCCAGGGTTTCTGCTAATGGTTCAGTAGACAGAGAGCCGAATCACCGAGACTCAGGGTCAATGATATCACACATTCAAAGCACTTGGAATGCCTTACTTCAACTTCCACTGCTTCTGCTGCTGCAGATCCTGTCGCTTCCATTTGTAATACTGTCCCATGAAATTTGGATCTCCAACAACTGGAATAAAGTGATTACAAAAAGAAGTATTCATATACATTCTTTAATATAGTTCGGAGTTGAAAGTAACTCACTTCTCATTAAGTTGATATGTGGCAATTGCATACACTATATATATAGTTCATGTTACAATGCTTGAAGACTTTGCTAATGTTTTCTTTTTATTGGAGCTGTGTAATACTCAATATTGTTTGAAATAAGTAGATTGTGACTTAGGAATTGTTTTCATTATAATGACATTTGCTTATATATCATTTATGCAGTTAAATAAAATTTATGGGAGACCATTGTTTTGGACTGAGGTTCTGCACTAGGCCCCAACACCAGTACAAGATGGAGTTCCTTAAGCTGGATGGTGGCATGTGCCTTTAATCCCAGCACTAAGGAGGCAGAAGCAGATGGATCTCTGAGTTTGAGGCTAGGCTGATCTACAGAGTAAGTTCTAGTACAGCCAGGGCTACACAGAGAAACCATGTCTTGGGGAAAAACAAAAAAAAGGTGGAGTTTCCTTTTTTGTTGACAGTGTCATGCATGCTTCAATCAAGTAGCAGAGTCCCCAAACAAAGCAGACCAACAGGAAGGGCCCAGTCAGTGAGATGAGGAAGTCCCCTTATGAGAAAACTAACCTGTTTTTTATTTTCTGGTTCCTGTAGGAGCCAAACTGTCCTATCCCTTAGTTAAATTGCTACCCATATTATGATACACTAATAAAAGCCAATTATATCTTTAAACTTGAAGAAACTTTGTATCTTAGCAATAGTAATAAAGTATTAAGATAACTCATGAAAATCACGGACCTTAATAGCTTAATGAATTTCTAATTTAGCACTTGGAGTGACAAATTAAATCTTGAGATTGGAAGTAACAATGTTCTCATTTCTACTCTGAGAACTGTTACTTTGTTTTGCTCCCAGGTCTGGGAAAAATCCAGAGCCTGTGCATACCAGGTAAAGCTTCTGCTGGGCTCCTACATCCCAGGGACATTTCAGAGCTGGATTTTCAGTAGAGCAAAAGTCTCAAACAGATGGTCCTGCTGGCCCCAAGGGAGCCCTTTGGCTATGTTTTGGTGACACTGTCCCTTCCCTTAGATGATGACAAGGGCTCCAGTGGCCTCCCTTAATCTGAGCATTGGGAGTTGCCTCTGGACCTGTTCATCTTTCTGGATTCATGCCAGTCCAATCAAGTTCATCCTTCTCCCCAGCAGTGAGCCTCTAAGGCATATCTTAAGGAAGCTTCCACTCCTTCAACGTTTTCTTAAAACCTGGGTTTTCTATGACAATCATCTTCACTGTTCTTGTAAGAACCTTAGTTCTTATTAAAATTTATGTCCAGGAGCTGGAGAGATGGATTGGTGGTTAAGAGCACTTGCTGCTCTTCCAGAGGATCCAGGTTCAATTCTCACCACATGGAGCTCACAATTGCCTATAGTTCCAACTCCAGGGGAATCTAACACCTCTGGTTTCCACTAGGAGACACGTATAATTATACATAACTAAAACAAAACAAAAGCCCCTTTATTTGCACAGCAGAGAATTCAGTTCAGGGCAGAGCACTGCGCTTCTGTTCGTAGCACTCCCAAACATCAGGATTTTTATTTAGTTTGACTGGTACAGGTACAAAGTGGATTTGCCAGCCCGCTGTGTGCTGCATTTCCGTCATCCTAGCTCTAGCTCATGTCTTCATTAGAATATTTTGAAATCATGTTACCTTACTGGCTTACAAGTTTGTGGTTAGTAACAAGTTTTATGCTGCCAATCAAATTCACATAAAATGTACTGAAAACTCTACTGTATTCTTAACCTATGCCACATAGCCACACATACTACTCTCCTTCCCTCTCCTCCCAGTCCCCTCCCCCTTTTCTCTCCCCTTCCCTCACTCCTCCCCTTTTCTCTCCTCTCCCTCCTCTCCTTTCCCCTTCTGTCCCTTATTCTGAGTTTGTACTCGAACCAGCTAACTGGCCAGATGCATTCCACTAGTCTTACTGTTATTTGGAATCTCTATCATATCAATGGTTTACTTTTTTCTTTTGGCAGGGTTTCTCTGTGTAGCCCTGACTGTCCTGGAACTAGCTCTGTAGACCAGGCTGGCCTCAAAATCAAATAGATTTGCCTGCCCCTGCATCCTGAGCACTGACACTAAAGGTGTGCCCCACCACACCTGGCCAATGACTTTACTTTTTCTTTGTAATGTAATGTCATTTGCTTTTGATTTAAAAAAAAAAAGAAAGTTTTCCCCTGCTGTTAAATTGCATGATTTTTCACAAGCAGTGTTCCTATACACACTCTAACTTTTTTCTTCCTCAGATCCACACAAGCACACACAAGCACACTGTCTTCCAGGCATCATTAGACTCTTTTTGCTGGCGTTTGGGGACAGCATCCTTCCCATTAAAGAATTCAATCTCAGCTGTCTTGGTGAAGAACTGTCTTTCCTACAGGGGAGTATTATAAGTAACATTACTGGAATTCTTACTCTAGGCTGTGTGTACATAGAGTAGTGTGTAGGACAACCATTACACCAGACAAACAGACTGGCAATGTTTCAGCCAGACAAACAGACTAGCAATGTGCCAGTGTCTTCTTATCAGCAATCTTCCATTTGCATGGGCAAAATTAAGAATTTTGCTAAGTTTCCATTTAAAGATGACTCATATTTTTCCTTACTTAAAAAAAGACCTCTCCTGCCTTGTGTATGTGAATCTGTGTGGCAGACAATCTCTACCTTATATATTACAAATCCAGACTGGCCAGGTCACCTCTCCCAAGCAGTCCATTCCTATTCTCTTGACTCTAGTGTCACTGTTTTCATCTCAGAGGTGAAGACATCACAGTTCTTCCTACAGACTTTTAATACTTCTCATATTTTACTATTATTATTATTATTATTATTATTATTATTATTTATTTTGACTCGGCTGTCTTCTGCCACCTGTCTGTAAACTCCTTAGAGAGCTTACCTACAATGAGGATCTTCTTGTCTCCAAGACACAGTCAGCTCTTAGCACCCACGTGTTCAAGAAATGATGCTGATTAGAAGACAGCAATGAAGGATGAGGGCAGGAGAGGGACAGAGGAGGAGTTAAGGGCCTAAGTTCAATCCCTCCCTCACATCTCTTGCTTGTGGGACAGTTTTATAAGTCATGGCAGAAAAGGGTCCCTTCAACAGCTTTCATAAGGTAAATTTTTTCTCTTCCATAGTGTAATTCTTTCTCTTGGAAATTACAGTGTTGTTTCTATTCTGGGATTTGTTTGTTTTTGCAGCAGTGGGGATAGGACTCAGGACCTTGTGTCTCTCTGCTCATTTTTTTTTTCATAATGGGGCAGGATAGAAAGAAGCAGGGAAAATTTAGGGGTGGGGGGCATGAGAAGAGAGAAATACTCCTCTCATTGGAATCCAGTTGAAGCCCCTTGGCAGCAGGAAAGCAAGAATGCACAATTAACAACTGCTTAGGGCCTCTCTCCCTTCCCAGCCGTAAGCCTGTAATTTTCTAGGAATCTCACCAGAAACCCCACGCATTTGCAGGGAAAGGACAAATGCGTACTAAAGTCCTTGTGGAACCCTAGAGGCTTCTGGTTTCCCTTTATCAGATTATAATTCCATCTAAGGCACCTCCAGGACCACTCTATAACCACACTTATCGAATGAGAACAAAGCGGGCAGAAATCTCAGAGCAACCTTTTGAAATGTAACTTGAGAGTCACCAAAATGGTACCTATGGATGACACTGAGACAATCAATTGCCACTCTTCTTTGGGAAGCCCATGCCTTATTTTTCCTACTTTCCCTTGAGAAACATATAACCTACTCTGGTGTGTCTTTCTGAGTGTCTGTCTCTTAACTCTCACGCTTAAATCTATAGTAAAATAGTTTTAACAGACTTCCCAGCTTTGCCTCATCTTTGCCATGGAAGCCAGGAATCCTGGACTGGCTTGAGTTGAGGTCTCAAAATCTAGGAGAATCCAGGTTGTTGTGTGTCAGTTTGTCCTTCTGCCACTGACAAAATGATGTACTGCTTGTCCTACATACACAGAAGTTGACTCAAAGTTGTCCATTTTCTCTGGAGGGACTGTCACATCCAGAAAACATGGTACCAGCTTGCACTAGTATGTTTTGTTTACATACATATTATCTCATGCAACCACAGAGCATCTAAAAGTAGGGAGAATATTCTTTGCTCACTAATAGGAATGAGAGATGAGGTTCTATTAGGTAAGCCACTCACTTGAACTTTCTTACCTGCATGGTGAAAACAGCATAGGACTAAGTAAGGCGTTGCTAACTTCTGACATCATGCTGTTCCCACCTGTGGCTGTGCATTATGGTCACCTGGGGAGCTTTCAAAACCCCACTACCCAGTCCTCCTGCCAACCCTGATGGAACTGGTCTGGGTGTGCTCTTTATGTTGGAATTTTTACAGGCTCCTCAGGTGGCTCTAATGAGCAGTTGGGGCTGTGCAACACGGCTCTGGAGGCAGGCACACTGCCTCTTTTGAGGAAGGAGGGGCCTTTGGAAGCCTCAAAGACTGAAAGTCTCCTGGGGTGAAAGCAAGCACCCCCCCTGATGCCGGAGGCTGTTTGGTTTGCCTGCTGACAGCAAACAAGCACCAGGGAGCCTCCACTCAGGCTGCACAGCATGCTGCTCTCAGGAATTCTTTTCCTGGAACGTAAGCATTTCCGTATGGGGATCATATTCTGTCGTTAAAGAGCCATTCCTACAACCACATGCATGGGTTTTCTCTCTGCCAGACCCTGTATTAGACATTTTATAGGGATGGGCAGAGCACAGTGGGGTCGCTGGTACGTTTCTCTGTATGATTTCCTATGATTGTGAATGGAAATGACATGCGTTTCAGAAATGCTCCTCATCCTTCAGCATTTGAATGTAAGTCTCACGCTATGCTGGGATAATATGCTGTCATATTATAAAGGCAGAATAGTGGCATAGGAGGGGAATGTAGGGCCAGAGGTCTAATCTAAGGCTTTGAACCACAGAACTAATTGCAGATGGGCACATGTACCACCCTAGGACGTGATTGTGTTGTGACTCTCATTTTATAAACAAGGCAAACTGGGCCAAGGACGGCAATAGACTTGCCAATGTCACATAGCCAGCAAATCATAGCCAAGACAAGCCCTGGAAATTTGGCTCCAGAATTTATCTCTTTTATCAATATATTGTATCTTCTATGTGGGTGACCTTAGCTAAATTACCTGGTTTCTCCTAGTCTCATTTCTCAACTGAAAAAAAAAGAGGGTTAGAATAATGTCTAGTCCCTCAGACATATAGATGTATGGTTATTGGTTACATATATTAAGATGTTTAGTAAATAAATATTGGTTAAAGGAATGATGAACTGGGGTGGTTAAAAGCATAATATATACAGACACACTCTATAGACTGTATTGTGAAAGAATACACTTGTGACTATTATGGCATTGATATATAGCTTTGACATAGCTTTGAGGTGCAAAAATAAGAAAAAGTGTTAATATCCAAATCAAAATACAACTACTTTCTACTCATAAAATACAAAGCCCTTAAAATATGTATGCGATATGAATAACCTTACCAGTAATAAGAACATACATGTATAAATGAAGTTATAAGAGGTTTCCTATGTTTTTCTGAGTCATGGGAGAAGCATTCTATAATACAAAAGCTTTATCTTCATTACTGCAAGGGACTTAGGCCATTAAAAAGAGAATGTTGGCTCTTGTCCAGCAGAACTATCAAAAGACAACATGGCCAGCAGTGTGTGTCAGGGTTGCATTTACTTTGAAAATTCGGTTCTGGTTGTTTTGGAAGGCAGGCTCCCGGAACAGTTTTAGAGTGATTCCAGGGGAAGGAGGGCAGTGGGATTGCGGAATCTGCCATTCACTGTTAGATTCAAAGTCCCAGAACTATTTCTGGGCTGCAGAGAACTATGCTCGGGCAGGATGAGTTACATGCAGACTGGGTTAGTATCCGACTGAGGTAGAAACAACAAAATTCAACAAGTTGGAGTCAAATATCTTTGAGGGAGGAACCGCCATCGAGAAATCACCATAATTTTCTTCCATTTTAAAATCACTTTTTAGTAAGAGGCAATCATTCCCAAATGCTCTCAAATTCTGGCACATTATTGTATCTTTTGCCTGGGAGTTAAGTTTCTGAGGACCCCTATGTATTTACACATTTCCATCCTGAAAAAATAAATCTTTTTTTTTTTTTTTTTTTTTTTTTTGAGGAATTTGCCTCTTAGTCCCTGGAGTTAATATCTTTCAACATCATGTTTTCACAACAAATGTTTATTGTCCCCAAATCCATCTGTGTGCCTCCATACTCAGTACACGGTAGGTACTTGAAATGTATTGACTGGCTAAGGGGCATCTGGCCACCAAACTTTGAAATTAAACACCCATGAACTCTAATGTCAGAAACATTAGTTTTTGAACTAATAGTGTTGCTAAAATCTGTGTATCAGAATGCACTTTGAACAATTTTTTTTTCAGCCACTGGTGTATGAGTGAGGATGATAAGGTATAATTGCAAAATAGTCAATAACCAACTTTCTGAAAGAACATGTGATTTCAGAAACATTATCTATCTTACTTGGTTTTGTGTTAGTTAAGCTTAGTAGTACTTTTGCTTTAACTTTATGCCTAAAAAATAAATACAACTTTTTGCTACAGTTAGGAAGCAGTGACCATGGGAGTGGGGGAGGGGTGGAAGTGAGTAGAAGCGTTCTAATATTGCAAGAGATAAAGCAGGAATACAAAAAAGATTAAGAGGCATGTGGTTGGCCGGGTGTTGGTGGCGCACGCCTTTAATCCCAGCACTTGGGAGGCAGAGGCAGGTGGATTTCTGTGAGTTTGAGGCCAGCCTGGTCTCCAGAGCGAGTGCCAGGATAGGCTCCAAAGCTACACAGAGAAACCCTGTCTTGGAAAAAAACAAACAAACAAAAAAACAAAAAGAGAGAAAGAAAGAAAGAAAGAAAGAAAGAAAGAAAGAAAGAAAGAAAGAAAGAAAGAAAGAGATGCATGTGGTGCATGTGGTTGTTCTAAAGATTCTTAGGTGGAAGAGAATGCAAAAATAGTGAGTTACCAGTACCTAAGACACAGAAGGAAGAAAGGACAGGGTTGGGAACTTAAGGCTGAGCCAGTTTCAGGCTGCCTTAATGACATGCCTGTGTGATACGTAGGTGAGGCTCAGTGCAGGTCTGCAAATGTGTGTGGGGGGGGGGGGGCAGAAGAGGGTCTGGCTAGAGAGGTGGCTTTGGCATCACTGACTGATAAAAACATGGCAGTAGGAGAGGCCTTTCAGAGAGATCAGGAGAAGGGTAGGAAAGAGGTCATCACTGAGAAAAAAGGCAGAAGAGTACTTAGGAAAAAAGAATAAAACTCATGGATGCGTGGTATCCCACGCATCAAGGAGAACATAGGCAGTAACAGCTAAGAAAGAGAAGTACTACAAAACGTCATCGCAGACTCTGGAATCTGAGTCCTTTCGAACTTCACAATGCCCTGCTCCTTTGGCAGGATGGCTGGGGCATAGCCACATTTTCACTTAACTGGATAGCTTACTTGGAGGCTATGTGTGCTTTAAAAGTCTAGTGAAATGAAACCAGTTGCCCAGCTCTCATATTGTGTCTTTGTGGTCCTAGGACAATGTTTCTTTCCTTCCACTGATGTAACTGAGCAGCACTCCACTCTCACGTTTTCTGACTGCATTTGCACTCCATGGCGGCTCTGCCTTAGGGAATAATTGTCTTTGAAATGGAAAGGTCCACCCTGCTGTGAACTCCCCTTTCTTGGGTGAAGGCAGCTAAATTAACCTCATAAGATTAAGAGCTCCATCAATTGCCTACTTTTCTGGCTTTTGAACAGACTCCGGTCAGGGCTCTACACAAATGAACTAAATTAACAGTTGTTGAGTGAACAGTATAGTACAGAGAGCAAACAGAACAGCTTATTACTCTTTCGTAGCAGATATGTGTCAACTGGTCTTTGAAAGTAAGACAAACTGAGAACAACCAACAGGTCAATAGATATCAGAAGGACACAGAATAAGGATAGATCAGCTTACATGGATTTTTGGAGTGTTCTGCAGTTTTTGACGTGGCTATCTCTGACCATGTCTTGTAGTAATCATTAAACGAGATTTTTTTAATTACTCTGAAAATATAAATAAAAGTCAGACCATATATAATTTGTCAAATTATCACAGCACACAATTCAGATAATATATCAAACTAGACTGATTTGAAAATTATGATACTTTCATCTCTCTCTCTCTCTCTGTCTCTCTCTGTCTCTCTCTCTCTGTCTCTCTCTGTCTCTCTCTCTCCCTGATAGTCTTGATCTCTATGTGTCCCAGGCTGGCCTGAAACTCACACTCTTCCTGCTTCAGCCCCTGTGTGCTGTGTGCTGGGGTTGCACGCATGTGCCATCATGCCGGCCTTTGGACATATATCTTTAGTAAATGTGCATCTAATAGATGGATCAAACACATTAATTTCACCACTGACAAGTATAAATCACAGAAAAGACAAGCTGTGTAATTCATTTCTCAATAATGAATGGAAATGTTCACCTGTGTGCACATATATCTATACTGCAAAAAGAAATAGCTTTAAGACCTCTGCCGTTAATGCCAATATTTAACAGGAACTTTAAAGGAAGCATTATATTTGTAATCTTTTTCCTTCTCCAGTAAAGTTTTCTTAAATTTCATATCAGTGCCATTTAGAATGAATTGTTTTTTTATTTCCTATTCATAGGAAGAATAGAAGCATGGAGACTAATTTTGACACAAAACCTAGTCACATGGAAACCCCCCTGTTTTCTCATCCCCCTCCCACCCTACTCCCGACCTGAACCTCTTTCTAGTAGTGTCATTATGCCCTAGCAGGAGAGTGAAGATTATTGAAAAGCAGTAAGTGGTAACTATAGGACACTTCCTGAGTCACTACATTTGCATGCACTTTTACCATGAACTTGTTGAACGCAGTGATTTATAGCTCTGTAAATAAAACATTACTTAGAGATAACATTCAGCCACGTGATATTGCCAGGTGACTAGTGCAAGTAGAGGCTGGAAAACCAGGTGTAATATCCCTTTCTGCTCTCCAATTTAATTTCTTGGTTCTTTGGGAGAAGAAACACATTTCTAGTCAAAACAAATATATTAGTATTAATTTTTATGGGTCAACTGTAAGATCCTTAAGGTAAATATTTGACTCGATTTTGAAATTAATGGGGCAATATTTAAATGGATCAGTGAATCCATTTATTTAGCAGTTTGCGACACCTAATTTTAAGACTAACATTTTTCAAATGTGTTATTACTTTTCCAATCACACATAAGGAGAACTCTGAAACTGGGTGAAGATAAATTAACCATTACTATTATTGCTTCCAGAACAGCTGCCAAGCTTCACATGGCCAAATGATATGCTAAGGTAACATGAATTTGCCCCCAAAATGTTTTAGCATTTTGCAGAGTGGGTAACAAAATGAAAGGCTGCCTTGTGCCTCCTGCATGAAAATCTTGGGATCAATTTGCCGTCACAGATCATTTAGCAGACAACAACGACCCAAGAGGAAGGAAACTGTCAACACACTGTCTCATGAAAAAAAAATATACCATCTTTAGGCACAATCATCTCCATTGTCTTTTGTTTGTTTGAGGATGACCCATGACCCTCTCCCTTCCCAGAGGTGCCCTGTTCAATTTCAAACTGTTAGTCCTCTGGGGATTGCTTCTTTTTATTTCCAGAATAATTAAAAATATTACCCTAAAAAGTGTAACTGTGGTTAGCTTGAAAACACAAAGCAGAATATCTTAAATGCTTGCATTTCCAATTCTATAAAGGAAATAGTCCCTTAAAATAATGATAATTATATTTACTGTTATTCAGATAGGCTATGAAGCTAACAAGGAGATAAAAGGCATAAAAATATGTTTGTGGCTTCCATCAATATCAAGAATATACTGAATATTGTCTGTGACAATGAAAAAGGAGGAAATACAAATTTATAAATTTATACTGGACACTAGAGCTGACCGTTGTGTTGAAGTAAGACATGTAATGAATGAGTGGAGAGAACAGCTTTCTCTGTCCCCATAATAAGGTGCTGTGTGGTTCAACATTCAGATAACATGATACACTGACCATACGTCTTTTGAGGTAGCAATAAATGAAAGAATTTGGAGGGAGGGAGGTAATAAAATTTTTGTTTGGCAGTCGTCAGGGAGTCATTTGGGGTGTATGCATGTGGAAAGGAAGGAGGCATCCTAGGCTCAGGGAACAGCCTCAGCCATCTTCGGGACGGAGGTCTGGAGAGCATGCACGTACACACAGAGGATCTTGGAGGAAGGGAAGACAAGGATCAGTTCAGTGGAGAGTTCAGATTGAGAGCAGCTGAAGGCTGTTCAATCAGCTGAAGCTTGGGGGTACAGGATCTTCAATGTAGGCAGAGAATGGATAGAATTAGTCGATTACCTTGGTTCATCAGAGCTGAGAGCCATCAGTGGTTCCTAAATAGCAAAGTAAAGGAGAAGCTGGGGCTTGAGCAACAGTTTCCTCAGGGGTCTCACACAGGGTAAATGCCGTAAGACTAAATGTAGGGTCGCCTAAGAGGCGAAGCCGTGGAGGTGTGAGCTACCTGAGAGTTAACAAGGGTGGGAACACAGGTTAGCAACAGGCACAGATGACACCAAGATAAGGTGAAGAAAGATCTGATCGGCCATCTGACATGTGAGAGATGAAGGAATGTTGGGGTCAAATCTTTTATGAAGCCAAGAAGACTAGTTTTCTATTAATAGAAAGAATTCTGTGGGATTGAAGTAAAATGTGAATGTGAGTTTAGAGGCGAACTCACATGATGCTATGACAGAGGAACCAAAATAAACTTTAGGGATCTGATGGTGAAATTATGAAAGAAAAAAAAAAAGAGATTGACAGATGAAGCTGTTAAGGAAAACAATTTCCAAACCAGTGTTTAGAAGAGGAAGCACAGACACCAACTTAAGGGGAGCCAGCAAGGGTGCAGTCTGGTGTTCAACTGAGCTGTAATCATGTATTATTGAGTTGCATCAATACAATGTAAGTCATGGTGGCAGCTGGTGACATTGTAGTCAAGAATAAGAGAGCAATGCTCATTGCTGCTTGGCTCTCCTCTTGTTTTTTAAAAAATGTTTTGGGACATGGGGCTAGAGAGATGGTTCAGCATCTTAGAGCCTTTGTTGCTCTTGCAGAGGACCTGAGTACCATTTCAAGCATGTGCCATGACTAATCACAGGTAACTAAAACTGCAGGGAGTAAAACTATGGGTAAGGGGTAGACCACTACAAATTATTTCTTCCCAGATGACAGGATTATGTCCATAGTTTAATCCAATTAAGTATAGAAAGTTTAGAAACTGGTGAGTATAGCAAAGATCCTAGGGACAAAGGAATTTTTAAATAAACTGTGTGTGTGTGTGTGTGTGTGTGTGTGTGTGTGTGTCTGTCTGTCTGTGTGTGTGTGTGTGTGTGTGTCTGTGTGTGTATGCATGTGTGTACAACTTTCCAAATAGGAAAAATGAAGGTGTTTGAGACAACTCACCACCTTCTTATCTCAGTGTCACCAATGCCGAGGTTCTAGAGGTGTGTCACTAGCAACAAAAGGCTTACATGTTATATTATTACACATATATTGATTGTTCCCAATGTATTTAATCCTACTTAAGAATTGGTTGAGTTTCCCCCCTAGAACCTTATAAGCTGCTTCTAACACTTTCCTGGGATTGTAAAAGAATGACAGTAACAAAGCAGTCAAGATAACAAAAGGGGCTGACCTAAAATACCAACATATGCTGTGCTAGAATGTTGCAATGAGCTTCACCCTAATTGAATCCTATATTATGCATGAGTGCACACATTGGGGTGTGTGTGTGTGTGTGTGTGTGTGTGTGTGTGTGTGTGTGAGTGCACTCATATGGTGGCCAAGGGAAACCACTGGGTAGACTGAACATTGGAAGGATTGCTCTATCCCTCTCTGTCTTATTAACTCAAGACAGGGTCCCTCACTGAACCTAGAACTTGCCACTTTTTTTGACTAGGCGGGCTGGCCAGCAAGCCCTAGCTATCTTACTGTCTTACACTTGCAATCATGTTGGTGCAAACAGTTATTCCAGCTTTTACATGGTTCTGGGAACTGAACTTGGGTCCTCGTGTGTGGCAAATGTCCTTACCCATAGAGCCATCTCCCCAGTACTGGTTTAATTTTTGTAATTCCTGTTCCTATCCTTGAAATTAATGCTCTGGTCAGACAGCCTGAGGTGTCAATCCTACTCTCATTGGAAGAGCATGGGAGGTCCTGAGATGACACCTCAGGTGTTCCCTGTGTCAGACTTTAAACACAATTATTTGGCTGGGCTCAGACTTTGATGAATAAGAATATGGGATGAGAAGGGGGGATCTCTAACAGAAACAGAAGCACAATATTATAGGATATTCAAGATTTACAGGAAATCCCAAGATATGGTGGGGCTCTGGAGACAGAAATGAGAGACCAGAAGAAGGAAGAACATGGCCAGCTGATGAAGAGCCTTAAGTTAAGTTTAAAAGTGTTGAGACTTCATCCTCTGGAATTAGATGACAAATATCACCTTCCATAGAGGCATCACCCTCCCTGGCATAAAGACTAGAAGGTAGAAAAGCAGCTAGGAGGCTGTCTAGAGTGAGCTGTGGGAAATGATGAGATACTTTGGGAAGGCAGTCGAGGAGGCCAGTGACTCTGAGTGCTGACGAGGTGCTAAACTTGGCTCTTTCCATGAGTGATTTCACTGAATACTAATGACAACCCCATGAGAAAAGTTGTTTCTCTTTTAACGAAGAGGAAACAAGTGTGGAAAGGTTACATAACTCACCCCATCACACAGCCAATAAGTAATGAGCCAGAGAGTTCGCCCTGCTAATTCCAGAGCCTGTAGTCTTAACCATGATGCTGAGAACTAGTTGGTGATGTATGAGACGCTTCCAACCAGCCTAAGTTCAAGCTGCATGCTGCTTTCACAAAACAGCATCACCGTCATTTTCTTCTTCCAGGCAGTGAGCCTGCGTTTTCCCCTTGCTGGAAAATTCCAGAAAAAAATTTTCCCCTAAGTTTTAAATTGCTCACAGTTTAAGCAGCAGGATGAATCTTGTGGCATTTCACTCTATCACCTGGAAGGAGACTTAAATCCTTATCCAGTGTAGCCACGCTCAGCATACTCCACGCCCAACAGCCCAACAATCACTCAATAGCCATTAAGACTATCAGATTGGACTGCCACAGTATATAATCTATCTCCCAATGCCTGCAACACTCATGACACTTCATCTTCTCACAAAGGCATCTGTCAACTCACATTATAACAGGGAGAGTAAGTGCAGGGCAATAAACTAGTATAAGACACAGAGATACTATTCTCATTCATGGCACTTTATTATAGAATGTTGTCATAATTGTTCTGTTTCAGATTACTTGTCTTTAGATTTATTTATTACATTTTATGCATGTAAATGTTTTGCCTGCATTCATGTATGTGTACCATATGTGTGCCTGTTGTCTCCAGGAGTGAGATGAAGGCATTGTATCCCCTGGAACTGGAGTTAGGGATGGCTGAGAGCCACCATGTGGGTGCTTGGAATTGTACCCAGGTCCTCTTCAAGAGCAACAAGGCCTCTAAACTGCTGAGCCATCTCTCTAGCCTCATGTCCCAAAAACATCTTTTAAAAGGAAAAGGAGAGACAAGCAGCAACATGCATTGTCTCTTCTTCTTGACTGAAGTGTGACCAGGGGCCACCATGACTTCCATACCCTCCAACTGTGAGCCTAAAAAACTCTTTCTTCATTAAGTTGTTTTTGTGACGCATTTTGTTACAGCAATAAGACAAGTGAGTAACACAGATATATAGGGAGATACACACACACACACACACACACACACACACACACACACAGTTTGGTACTATCTGTAGTTTCAGCATTCAATTGGGGTCTTTGAATGTGCTCACTGTGGATAAGCATGAACTAGTGTGTTGAGCAGCTTGTGGGACCCATGCTTTCCTATATCACCCTCTGCAAAGAAAGCCCTGCTCCCCCGTCCACAGGGGAGTTCCTGCCCTGCCTTTAGAAAAGGCCCCCTGAGTGCAGGCCTCTACATGACCCTTTCCATGTCCTGCCAAGGAAGCTGTTTCTCCTCAACATTGCCAGGCATCTTGGACTTACATCTGCCTTTGTGGTTACTATATTGTGTTGATGTAACTCAACAATAAATGGTCACAACTCAATTAAACAATGGACTGCACCTACAAAATGTGGATACTGAAATCATGACTTGGTTAAAAAAAAGTACAGACTTCTAAAAGAAGCTTAGAAAGAAAAGGTTTTGTGTGTGTGTGTGTGCGTGTGTTCCTCTCAAAGTGATTCATTTAAATAGAATTCACTCTGACCTTAGCATTCCAAAAATTCCTTCTTAGCTATATTACTAGTATTTTCCCTTTAGCCTAGGCATCTGGTGGAAGATGGGAAGATGTTTGCTATACTGTCCTTGTCCCTCCTGTCTCTCTCTTGAAGAGCTCCGCATTCTAGAATACAAGGCTTGTGAGTTTAGGGATCACATATTAAAGGGTGTATCCCTGACAGGATAGTGTGTTCAGTAAATAACTTTTGAAGACACCAATGAAGTATCTGCCCTTCCATGGAAAAGACTGTGGCACAACTGGTGATCGGCATTCTAGATGATAGGCAAAAATCTCAGCTGACTGCACAAGTTCAACATCAACAGAACCCCCTGCTTTCCCTGTCTATGCCCCATGTCTGCTTGAGTTTTGTTTTGTCTTTTGTATTCAGAGGCCATGCCCCTGGAACACATTTCTATATATAGATCTTCATGAAGTTAATGCAAAGCTCCAGAACCATGGGTTAGATGATATCACATTGCTAAGAGCAGTATTTCTCTTTGAATAATCTCTGCAAGACCTCATTGTGATGCGTTATTTAAAAAGTAGGGGCCAGCAAGGTGGCTCAGTGGACCAGGCTCAGGGATCCCTGGGATCCCTGCTGAAAAACACTGGTGTGGCAGCATGCATCTGTAACCCCAGCACTCTTAAAGGCAGGTGAGAGGCAGACGGGACAACCACCTAGAAGCTCAACGGCCAGCTTTCCTGAGTACATGGTTCAGCAGCAGAAACAAGAGAGACCCTGCTTACCAGGGGAGGAGAGAAGTGACTACCGAAAGCTGTCTTCTTGTCTCCAATGCATCGCATGGTACATGCATACCTGTTCTCTCTCTTTCCTCTCTCTCTCTCTGTCTCTCTCTCTCTCTCTCTCTCTCTCTCACACACACACACACACACACACACACACATGAATACATAAACACAAACACCAATAAACAAAGAATGAGTGACCCAAAGAGAGAAGACACAGTTGAGCTGTACATCAGAACAAGCATATGGGGGCAAACATGGGATCCCACACAGACAATCTCATCATGATATACACCAGAACCATGGAGTGTTTCTGAAGACCTGACTCTCTAGCTTCTCTAGAGAATTCAGGGTTGCACAAAGTGAGCCAGATAAACGGAACATGATTTGGTGTTATTTATCCTTGTCTGGGTTCAGAGGAACAGCTGAAACTGAACCAGAGACAATCTTCTGATCAGGTCCTCTGGACCTGATGGTTAATGCCAGTACTGTGTGAAGGATCCTACGAATAGTTAAATGCCAGGCAGCAAGAATGTTTGCTGTTCTGGGGATGCCCTTATTTCATAGATGCAAAGACAACATATGTCCAGTGTTGTCAGATGGTCAGGATGGGGAAGGCGCTCTCCTCCACAGGTTGAGCAGACAGCAGGGCCTTCACTGAGCCCCAGCCAAGAGGACCATTCACTGGACTGTACACCATCTTTCTGCACATTTTCAGGACTATGTCGTAAACAGAAGTCACTTGAATGGTCAAAGTTTGCTTTGATGATGGCAGTCAGGGAAACCTGGGCCAAATCAAGCACAACTTCAACACTAGCTAATTGGCTTTAAGTTTAGAGCTCAGGAAAGCAAAGGCTGTAACACTTTTATCAAGTGTTTACAGTTTGGGAGACTATAGACTGTGCCTCACTCAGATGCTCAAAGCCAAAGAAATGCTACATTGCCAGGCTGGAGAGATGGTTCAGGGCTCAAGGGGATTTGCTGCTCTTCTAGAGGACCAGTTTGATTCCCAACATGAAATCACTGCAAGCTCATAATCCCCTGGAATTTCCCATTGGAGGGATCAGACACCCTCTTCTGGCCTCCCTGGGCACTGTGTTCATGTGCACCCCCCATTAAAAATCAAAATATAAAATCTGTAAAAAAAAAAAAGAAAGGAAGGAAGGAAGGAAGGAAGAAAGAAAGAAAAGAAAGAAAAGATACAATGGCTTTGGCCCTGATTCAGTTTTCTAGGATAAGGTTAATCGTATCTTCTCTGAAAATGCTTGGGGTTTTGTGAGATCACTTCATTATAGATACATCAAAGGTCGATTCAATAGAAACAACTCAATAATTCCCCACCTTCTTCCTAAAAGTATTTATCATAAGAGAAACAAACAATTCCCTTTCTAAGTTAAATGTTGTAAAGCATGGGGCTGGAGAGATGGCTCAGCAGTTAGGAGCACTGGCTGCTATTCCAGGGAATCAGGGTTCACTTCCCAGAAGCGGCATCAGGTGGCTCACACTCACAGGAGACTATTACCTCAGGGAACCAATGCTCTTCGTTTGTCCTCCACAGACACCCACATACACAGACATAAAAATAAACATAGATCTTTTTGAATGCTTTCATTATAAACCACAAAGTCAGTATCATTTAATAGTGGTTTGGGTTGAAAAAAAACCGACAGAGAGAGTGATCAAGCAAACCTTACCTGAAATGCTCCTGTGGCTCTTCAGTTAACTCTAGGCCGCCCTCTTTTACTGCAAAGAGAAAATAGAAAAGGGCTGTGGTGACTTGGAGCCGGAAGAGGTGATGCTATGTGTATTCTAGAATCTCAATAAAATCACAGGAAGGGGGTAAAAGTATAGCATAAAACATCGAAGACGTCAAAGAAAAAGGACAAGAAAGAATTTCAAGACGGAAAGCAGATGTCAAATGGCAACTGTGTTGGCAGGTCCCTGGGAATCTGAAACCCAACTGCTCAAGTAGGAAAGGCTGATAGACAGCAAGCAGAGCTGCATTCCAGAAAGAACTCAGGGTCCAAAGGTGCCAGGTAACTCTGAGAGGAGAGGCCAGAGGCTGAGCACAGACCTGCACTTACCATCCTCACCCCTGAGAACCACATGGAAATCCCTGCCCAGAAACGAGGGAGGATGCCTACCTACCCTCTGCGGAAGCAGTCATGGAGACTCAGGGCTGAACAGCACAGGAGTGTGGAGGACAGAAAGCGGGGAGTTAAGTAAAGACTCCTCCTCTGAGGGACTGTGAAAGAGATGTTCACACAAAGAAAAAAACAAAACAGACTTTATCCCAATGAGAGAAACAGAGATAAAAGCTTCAGAAATTCCTGAAGGAAGAGAAGGGTACTGGGAAAAATCAGGGAGGGGAAAAAAAAGAAAAACATACCATGACACTGAGAGACAAGCAGAACACAATACAGCTGCGTTGGCATTGATCCCCGGTGGGGGAGGGAACGCAGAAGGCCTAGAACAGACAGGCAGGCCTACCTTCAAAACAAGCCCATGGTTCCCACAGCCACAAATCTAGCTGCAGATGTTGGCGAGACAGTGATTCCTTGGAGCAGAGTCAGTGGAGGAGAGATCCCATTTTGTCACGCAGCAGCTGGGAGCTTCTATTGTTAACAACTGAGCTACCCTGAGGGCCTAAGATTAGGGAACACCCACAGGTTAGAAAGACTCTTAGTGGCCTGTCACAGCCTTTGGGGGAGGGGAGGCACAGAGGGGTCTTGCAGAGCAGAAGGGCCAGACAAGGGTGGAAAGGTAGAGGCAGTAGGGGACCAGCTGAGGATGGGAAGTGTAGGAGGAGAGACACAGTCCTGCCCTTGGAGTCTCAGAACACAGGTCATCAATTCAGAAGGCCCTGGAGTTTGATGGCTCTGAGCCTGAGGTCAGAATGGGGTCAAATTCTGGAGTCACATAGTTGTCTTTCACTGTTGAAGAGCCTGAGAATTCTGAACTCCACAATAGTTTTTCCCAGCAGAGAAACGGATACACATGAAGCCTTGGAAGTACAAAGGCCTACACACATCTTAGGGTTGTTGTTACTTCCTACACTCCCAACAATACATGGGAGTCACTCTTCAGCTAAAATATCACCCAGAGCAAGGCCACACCTACTAAACCTGCTAATTGTTCCCAAACAGTTCCACCAACTAGGGAGCAAATCTTCAAACATATGAGCCTCTGAGGGCCATTCTCATTCAAATCACCACTCTCTACACCTTTTCTCTTCCCCTCTATAATGTTCTTTACCTTTCTCCATAGTCTCTCTCCTTTTGTGTTTAACCTTGCTTCCTGCCCCCACCCCAGCTTTTCTCTCCTCCTTCCTGAATCTCAGTCATTTACTAGTCTCATGCTTAACTAATTTCTAATGTCACAGTACATGCTACAGGAGTTTTGTTATTTTGAGTTTTGTGGTCATTGATGCATATTAGTGAATTGCAACTGATTTTAAGTGCCATATAGTTGCTATCTCCTTGATGGGCAAATACTTGACAAAAGCAATTTAGGAAAGGAAGGGTTTGATTTGTCTCACAGTTTGAGAACACAGCCCACTGTGGCAAGGCAGGCATGAAGAAAGAAGCTGGAGGCAGTGGCTCACAGTACATCCACAGTCACTACGAAGAGAGTGAAGGATTCTGGCACTTAGCTCATGTTCTCCATTTTATTCAGTCCAGCAGTCAGGGTAGTTTTTCCCACCTACTCTAGAATATCTCTCACAGATCAGCCTAGAGTTTTGTCTCTGAGGTAATTTTTGATCCTGCCAAAGTTACAACACACACACACACACACACACACACGAATATATATATATATATATATATATATATATATATATATATATGTATGCACACACACATATCAATACATTACTGCACATGTATTTCCATGTCTTGTTGGTTGATGCTGCTGGCACAGGAGTTTATCTCCTCCTAGCTGAGTGTTATTGAGAATTCAGCTCCCAAGAGTTTGCTGCTCAATTAGAATTATGTGTCCACTTCCCAAATCCAGAAGCATTTACTAACCAAACAATACACATACTGTAAGCCAAAAATGCAGCAAACTAGAACAGGCAAGGTAACTTGACTCCTACGAAAGTTCTTAACTCCTCAACTCCTAAAATCAAAGATGCTGAAGTAAGGAAGATTTCAGATGGAGATTTCAAAGATTTTATGTAAAAATGATCAATGACCTTAGAGAGGGTGCAATCAAGTGGATGAATTCAATCAGACCTAGAGAAGAAAGTCAGCAACAGAGAAGAGAGTATCAAATTATGGATAAGAAATAAGCCATATGGTGGAAGAAAAAAGTCAGCAACATGGAAGGAAACTTCAGCAAGAAAGTTGAGATTTTAAAAAAGAGAGTTTGAAAGTAAAAAAAAAAAAATCAATGAATCAAGTAAAGAACACAATGGAAAATGTCAATAGACTTGAACAAGGAGAAGAAAGAATATCAAGGCAGGTTGATGAAGCACTGAACCAATAAAAAAAAGTATCAAATGGGGATGGGATAGAATGACCATGACATCCAGTGACACAATCAGAGACAAAACCAGACCAACGAGATGCTCAGCAGGTAAGGGTGCTTCCTGTACAAGCCTGATGTCCTGGGTTTGATAGATTGCCCGAACCTATTTAAAGGTTGATGGAGAGAACAAACTCCACGAAGTTGTCTTCTAACCCCACATGCATTCAGTGTCCTGTGTGTAATGATGATGCACACCCCACAATTATAATAAATGAAGCTGAAATGCAGAAAAAATAAGAATACAAAGAATAGAAAGATGCATAGTGCATTGTCAAAGAAATGATAACAGGAAATTTTCCAAAACTAGAGAAAGAAAAACACATTTGAATACAGGAAGCATTTAGAATCCTAAGTAGACATGACTAGAGAATAACTTCACAACATATTGTAGTCAAGATGTCAAAAATACAAAACAAAGGCACATCAACAGCTTTAAGAGGATGACGCCACAGAGGCCAAATATCAGATCTCTCTATGACACACTTTGATCCTTAAAAATAATCACCAACTGTCTTAGTTAGGGTTTTTATTGCTTTAAAGAGACACCGTGACCATGGCAACTTATGAAGGAAGCCATTTAATTGGGTGGCTTACATTTTCAGAGGTTTAGTCCAATATTAACATGATTTGACATGGTGATGTGCAGGAAGATATGGTGCTGGAGAAGTAGCTGAGAGTCTTACATCTGGACTTGCAGGCAACAGGAAGTGGTCTGCCTCATTGGGGGTAACTTGAACATAGGAGATTTCAAAGCCCACCCCCATGGTGACATACTTCCTCCCAACCATGCCACACTTCCCATTAGTGCCACTCCCTTTTGGGGCCATTTTTCTTTAAGCCATCACAGCAACCAAGACTGCTATCTACATCAGTGCTATTTAAAACAATTAAGACATTTCAAGACAAGTTCAAATTAAGCTGTTTGTGACCACTAAGTCAGCACTGCCAAAGGCACTTAAAGGAATTTTATATACAAAGGATTGAGAGAGGCAATAGTCATTGTGAGAGAACATCATAGAAGCGATTTCAGAAGGAAAATGATGGAACGAAAGAGAGCTATGAGGGAATCCATCATGTCTCACATAGTAAGGTAGCAAATCTTATTTCTCCTCTTACAGAAGAGAACATAAGAAACAATAATCCAAACAGCCAGAAAAATAGTCAGCAGATTACAGAAATTAGTAAATATCCCTATATAACAACACAAAATGTAAAGTGGCTTCAGCTCACCAATAAAGACACATAGACTGACTGGATTAAAAAAAGCTAGATCCAAACTTCTGCTGTCCCTAAGAAACACACCGCACTGGAAGACACATACAGGTTGACAATCAGATATTGAAAAGTGATCTGTCAAGTGAACAGAAACTAAAATCACCTTGCAGAGCACTCTGATGGCTGATAAAGTGACTTCAAATTGAAATGAGTCAGCAGAGAATGGAACTATGCATTGCTAAAGGAAACAATCCATTGAGAATACAAAACAATCATAAATACATATGCACCAAACAATGTGACTCCTAGTTTTATAAAGCAAACACTGATGGATAGAAAGGATAGATGGGTGCTGATATAATAATGGTGGCTGGTTTCATTACTTCACTCTGCTCTCTAGATTTATTCCAATTTAAAATCAATGAAAGGAACCCTAGAGTTAATTTATACCATAGATCAAATGGACTTTTAACAGCTATGAAATATTTCATCCAATGGAAACAATATCCTTCTTTTGTCAGCAGCCAATTGAACTCTCTGTAAGTAAACAGACCACATTCTAGACTGAAAATCAAGCTTTCCCAAATAAAAAGCAGTCGAAACAATCTAATATATTATTAAGTTATAGCACAGTAAAATCAGAAATCAGTAGGGAGAAAGACTGCAGAAACTACAGGAATAAATGGAGACTGAACAATACACTCTCTGAAGGACCAGTGAGTCATCGAAGAAACAAAACAAATCCTAACCCAAGATGGCAAGAAATAATAAAAACCATGGAAAAAATTAATGAAATGGGGACTAAAAAATAATTCATAGAGTCAATCAAGATTTGGTTCTTTGAAAAGTAAATATAAAATTGCCAGATACCTAATCAAATAATCAAATAAAGAGAACATCCAAATTAATGAAGTGAGAGGTACAAAAAATAGGTTAATACAAATTCCAACAGCAACAACAAAACACCCAGAGAATCATTAGGGAGTACTTTGGAAACT